TTTGCTGCTGCCATCATCACCATTGACAACAGTCGCAGTCCTACTTTTGACAGGGAGGCTCAGAGAGCTTAAGTAGCTTGTGCAAGGTTGTCAGCTAATAAGTGACAAAGTATAGGTCTTTGTCATCCTGAGGTCCATGTTCCTTCTTTCATACCTGACTTTATAGCTTGGTCCAGGGACACTGGGCTCCTCTGAGTCTTAGGTTTCTCATGTATGAAACGGGAATAATATTACTTCTTCTTCGCACTGCACAGGGCTACGGTATGGGTGAGATGCAATCCTGGAGGTTTGGGGCTTTGAAAATTGCAGTGACTTGCACATGAGATGCTCACTGGCACCCCTCAGGGTTACAGATAAATTTTTGCAGGCAAGTATTGTGGTCTGCACAGCCATGTGGACATAGAGTAAATATTCAACAAACAAGTGGGCTGAGCCCAAGAGGGCTACGGTGGGCAGAAACCAGTGGCACTGACGTGAGGTTTCCTGCCACCCCCAGAGAGGAGGCAGTAAGCGACCCTACTGGGGGTGCAGTCAGGAAGAAGGGAGAGGCCCCCAGCCTTGATAAGAGGCCCACTTCCTCTGCTACCCAGCCACATCAAGGCGGGATAAACTGTTTCCCTCGTCTCCATGGCAACTGGGTCCCTAAGGCTCCATGGGTGGAGAGCCCAGTGCCCCAGGTCCCAGTAATTTTCTCCCTGTGACCTTGCCAGGACCCATTTCTTAAACTAGCCTCAGCCCAACCCCTACTGCCTCCAGAAATGTGAAATCAATGTGGGCCAGCATTCATCTTCACACACTGCTCTGAGAGGGAGGCATTATTATATTCCCATTTCACAGATGAGAAAACTGAAGCTCACGTAAGTTAGATGTCTTGCCAAAGGCCCCACACCTAGTGAGCAGCAGACCCAGGATTTGAAACCAGGTGGTCTGGTATCAAGTACTGGCAACTACTAAGGTATTCAGTCCCCCTCCAAGAGCACACGTTTCCTGGCCTCCATTCTAGCCTTCGCCCCACTTCCTCCCACTGTGGCCCTTACCCGGGATTATTAGGGGTGGGAGGGACTCAGCAATAAGGCAAAAAGTTTACTGCATGCCTTTTAAAAATCATACTAAGGCATTTTCTGATGAGCCCACTTAAGGGTCATGTAGAAGAAGTTAATTTTATTTGACTTACTATTTGCTACTGATGAGGGCTCAGGTTCTGTGAAATTAGAGATTAACTTGTGGATAAATTGCAAATGATTTTTACTCAGTAGAAAAGATAACCCCAAAGGTTACAGTTTTATTCCTCTATATGATATTAACTAGTTTTATATCTAATTTTGCAATCTTATTCTAGCTTCTATGAGAAATTTATATCAGTTTCTTATATTGTCCTTTAAAACCAGCTCTTGTACCATCTTGCTGGTTCCCTCAGTAATGAGCTGATTACAGATGCTCCTTGACTTACGATGGGGGTATATTCCAATAAACACATTGTAAATTAAAATATCATAAAGCAAAAAAGCATTTAATACACCTAACCTACCAAACATCATAACTTAGCCTAGCCTACCTTAACTGTGCTCAGGACACTCACATTAGCCTACATTTGGGCAAAATCATCTAACCCAAGCCTAGTTTATTGTTGATTATCTGATATAATTTATTGAATACTGTACTGAAAGTGAAAAAATATGTTTTTGCACCATCATAAAGTCGAAAAATCTTAAGTCAAACCATCCTAAGTCAGGGACCACCTGTACATCTCTGACAAAGGCTCACTATACATTTGTATGAGTGTCAGGTTTCTTAACTGTTTGAAAATGATTCTCTGACACAAGGGAGAGTTCCTAGTTTCCTACTTTGGTGCTTTCTCTGGAAGAAGAGAAGCTCCTAGCATGGGCGACCTGACCTGAGCTGCCCTCTCAGGCGTCTGCCTTCTCCTTGGTCACCAGGATTTCTGAGGCTCATGTGGTCCTGGGAACAATGTGGAAGAGAAAGCCCTCAGTAGTGAGCAATGGTTCCAAGGATCAGTGCCTGCTCTGAGGCCAAAGGACCCTTGTTCCATTTCCATTTCCAGTTGCTGCGCTGCCCGGATCATGTCCCCCAGGCTTAGCACCCCAAATGGTTCCAAGGATCAGTGCCTGCTCTGAGGCCAAAGGACCCTCGTTCCATTTCCATTTCCAGTTGCTGCGCTGCCCGGATCATGTCCCCCAGGCTTAGCACCCCATGGTCCCACATGCTTCACCACAACCAGCCCCTCCACTCCACATCTGCTAGCTACGCTGCCCACAACACAGTTCCTGCCCAGCCGCCCACAGAAATATCTCAGGCACAGCGTGCATTCAGTTGAGGAAAGCCAGCTGGTTCTACTTGAAATCAGGAAGCAGTCTCCCTGCAGGTGACACCCCTCCCCCCAACCCCAAATCTCTCTCACCCATTTCGAAATAAGAAAAAGTCATTTAGATCTTTGGTGTAAACTGGAGGCCCTGCCAAGGCCTTTGCATTTTAAATCCTTTTTCTCAAAATTGTAGAAGGGAAGAAAATCTTGGCCTTCTGGTACAGGAATTCTAGTCACCAGCAAGAAGCCCAGAATAGATTCAGATCTGTTTATTTGGGTGGGTGGGGGGGGGCAATGAAAGAGATTGATTTTAACTGGTTTGTTCATATAGGCTGCTTTTGAAAGTTAGGCTGGCAGACTGTCTATTCATAATGTGACCTGGGACCTTTCAGGGCCCAACACCTGCTCAGGACCTTCCTGATTTCTTAATTGTCCACCCAAGTGTCCACCATAAGGTGAGGGCCACGTTATAGGTAGACTTTGGGGTTGGCTGACCCTAGCCTGCACCTGCTCTGTTCATTTGTAACAACGGAGAGCTGATTGGTTGAAGAAAGATAAATCAGTTGATTGGTTGGGAAGCAGACAGATCAGCTGACTGGTCAACTGGTTGGAAAAGAAAGTCATGAATCCCTCCAAAGGAATTTGTAAATAAAGCTTCAGTCCTGGGCTTTCTAGAGTCCATGAGTCATTGGGGAATAAGATTTGGGACTTCAATCTTGTGTGCATGTAATGTGTATGATGAAAATTAAATGCTGCCAGTACTAAACAGACCTGGTGCATGCATACATTTGAAAGAAAAAAACAAAAATGGGACTACAACATACACAGTATTGGGGGGCCCGCCTTTTTACCCAAGTTACTTACCATCTTTTAACTTTGGTAACTCTATTTCTACAATATCATTTTTAATAATTAAATAGCATTCCGCCAAATGACTTGGCCACAGTATACTCAACCGTGTTCAATATTTAGCGCTTTTTTTGCATTGGTTGGTTATTAGAAAGAATGCATTGATGAGCCATCCTTATAGTTAAATCTTTGCACATACATAGTTATTCACCAGGATAAATTTCTAGGAATGGGATTGCTGGGTGAAAGGGTATTCTTTTTAATGCTTTAACAAACACAACCCGCCTTTTCCTGACCAACACTGGTATTTTCGTTCTTTTTTTTAACTTTGCCAATTTGATAGGGGAAAAAAGGTGTCCCACTTTTTAGTTTTGCATTTTCCTTATTACTAATGAGGGTGAATATTTTGGGGCGTACTGGTCAGCCATTCATGGTTCTTTTTTGAAGTACTTGAATCATGTCATTCATATTTCCACTGGGGTGTTTGCCTATTTTTAATTGACTCAAAAGAGCTCTTAATGGGTTTGATATATTAATTTTGTGTTGCAAATATTTTTCATAGTTTGTTACTTAACTCCCATTTATAGAAGGTTAACTGAATTCATCTGAAGTCTCAATGAGGAATCACAGATCTTGTAAAATTTTTTTTTCATTATGTTTTATTACTGGTTGATGTTGCTTTATGGGAAAGCTCTTAGCCACCTGTTTTCTAGTTCTGACAATTCTTCATTTGGGTGATTCTCTTAGTCTTGACATGTAAGCAATTGTTTGAGCTCTGAATAATTAAAATGTTATCTTCTCTAGAAGAGGAAATATTCTTTATTTTTGTCTTTTTGCACAGGCAAAATACCTATAAGCAAAAAGAGGAAGATTAATGATTTTAATGGAAATGTCTCTAGTATTTTGCCTTGGGCTCTTGCCATATTAAGAACACTTCTATAGTAATAGTTTCCATATATCGAGAATTTTTAAATATCAGGAATGGGTGTTGAATTTTATCAAATGTTTTAGAAGTATCTATTAAGATGCTGATGTGACTTTATTCCTTTGGGTGTTGATGTGACGAATTACTCTAATATAACCACCTCTTGGTAAATCATACTTGATTGTGTTTTCTCTTGCTTTATCATAGTTTTCTTAGATCTCATTTTCATGTCTATAACAGTATCTACAATTTCTCAAGAACCCCTATTTTTCAGACTCCACATATGAAAACCTAGAAAGGACCAGGTCCTTGTCCACACTAGTCATGGCAGCCATCCACCTGTCCATTCTAGTACTGGCCACCTTCCCCAGCCAGAGCTGAATCAACCCACACGTGCGATTGCCTTTTTCTCCTGGAGCAAAGAGAACAAGCAAGAGACTCTTGTCAATATCCTGGGGTCTTCTCTGTCTGACATGGGCAGCCTTGGAGACCGGTTGGCTAACTAGAGCAGAAGTACAGGCCAAGGGGTGGGGGCTCCTTTCCCCGAACCCCTGTTCCAGTTTCCCCTAAGAATTCCTCCCAAGTTTACTGCTTTCAGCTTGTGCATATTCAGCCTCCTGATGCTGTGTGCACCACAAAGAGAAAGTTTTGAACCAGAGCATGGGCAGAGATGAACTGAAGGATGTAAGGTGAGGAGGCACATACCCAATGAAAGTTACAGGAGCGCTGGAAGCGTCCTGACCACATGATACCACAAAGAGAAAGTTTTGAACCAGAGCATGGGCAGAGATGAACTGAAGGATGTGAGGTGAGGAGGCACATACCCAATGAAAGTTACAGGAGCGCTGGAAGCGTCCTGACCACATGAGCCCTGCCCCATGTTCTGGCCGCCTCAACACTCACCTGGGGCCTTGAGTTCAGCATCGATGAAAGTGAGCAGTTCCTGGTAGATGCTGCAGTAAGGAACAGGCCAGGTCAGGAATCGGTGGTAGGTTCTGGCTGCCTTTAGAAGAAGATCTGAGTCTGGTGGGAAGTGTGGTGTCTAGGATGGAGAGGGGGCAGTAAGCAAAGAAGTCTGGGTGCAAAAAAGCTCACTGATATTCCAGAACAGCCTCTGCTCCCTTACTGGAATGTTCCACAAAGAACATACATTTCCTGGCAGCAAAGATCATAAATAAACTCATTTATGATCTTTAAGACACATCGCCAAATCACTTTCTGAAAAGATTTTGCCATTTGTAATATCTGTACATATGAAGGTCAGGAAGCTAGAAGTTACTCACAGGGAGTGAGTTACAGATGGGAAGACAGCACCTAGAGGTGTCTCTACTGTAAGGGCCTTGTTTTACCAAACAAACCATAGTTCACCCAACACTTGAGAGAGCCTCTCTGAAAAGCTGCCACCTTAGAGGTCATTCTAAATGCTGTCATGGCTGCCACTTGTTTTGGGGGAATGGTCTTCAATGCCTAAACCACCTTCATTTAAATATCCTCGCTAGAGGCAAATGTTCTTTAAGGGCGGATTAAATCAGTGTACACAAAGTCATTTGGTGCCACCAGTCTGGTGGCTACAGGGGCTGATCACGTTGAGTGAAACTGACCACCGGGGTTAAAAATGAGGAGGACATGAATCTTGTGGCTCGTGAACAAACATGACAACAGTTCCTCCATGAGAGCCCAGAGATGCCAGGCACAATGGCGGCCACGTGGAGTTACTGAGACCTCTCCAGTTGACCACTCTGAAGCCAGCAGAGGGTTGAAAGCCCTCTCACGTGTCATTGCTTGACAGTTTCTCTCTGCCTCCCACGGCGGTCACTCTGCCTTCCCCTCCCACTCATCCCTTGCTTCCCCGTCCTGGCCCACCCTGGACTCACGCAGAGGACAGTGGAGTAGAAAAGCAAGGCCAGGGGTGCAAGCAGGTCATAGGTGCCCTTCTCCTGGACCTGTGGGGAGGACAGGGGAGGAAGAGTGAGGCTCATTCACATGGCGCAGGGCTCTGGGACAGAAGATGGCAGTGCTTTCCCATGCTAGTCTTCTTTTCTTACTTTTTTTTTTTTTAAGTTCAAAGTAGTGCAACTCAAGACAAAAATTTGGAAAATAGAAGTTAGAAAAAAAAAAAAAAAAGACCACTCACAATATCCTCCTCCCAAACTCAACCACAGCTAATGTTTCAATGTATGAGGGTACTTTGAAAAGTTTGTGGAAAAATAGAATTAAAATATTATATAAATCTTTCCATGAACTTTTTGAAGTATCCATGTACTTCTCTTTACATGGTTTTTCCCCTATCTATCTTCTTCCACAAAGCTATAATCACAGTATGTATATTTTATCTTAATGTCTCTTACATATAGTATTATAAGTGAATTTCTGGTTCTATATTTACCTATTTTATTTGTGCTACAAATGTTTTCCTATTTGTTGGTTATCTCCTAATTTTATAGATATTTTTGATGTACAGAAATTGCAAATGTTAATTTTTCCTTTATGGATTTTTGCTTTTGCATGAAAAGGTCATGTAAATATTCATATATATTTTCTTCTTTTCTTTGAAGCTTCATTTTCTTAAATGTAAGTCTTTAATCCATCTAAAATTTAATCTGCTGTGTCCTGAGCTAGACTTTTCACTCTGTATTTTTCCAAATGTCTAGTCAATTTCCCCTGAACCATTTAATACATCCTAGTGATGCAACTTTGAAGCTTCATTTTCTTAAATGTAAGTCTTTAATCCATCTAAAATTTAATCTGCTGTGTCCTGAGCTAGACTTTTCACTCTGCATTTTTCCAAATGTCTAGTCAATTTCCCCTGAACCATTTAATACATCCTAGTGATGCAACTTTATTATATATTAAATTTTGTATATATCCTTGGATAATACTCATCTTTTTTTAACTGCATAATATTCCTTCTGGTAGATCTCCATAATTAGTTTCACTGGGGACATTCAAGATTATTTTCTTGGTATTTTACATACTTTTGCAATGAACACCATTGTGCACACTCCTTTCCTATAATTTGGATTATTTATCTAAGGCAGAGTTCAAGAAGTGGAATCAGTGGAACAAAAATTACAAACATATTTATGATCTTTGAGACACAGCACCAAATCACTTTCTGAAAAGTTATGCTATTTGTAATATCTGTATGTATGAAAATACTAGTTTCAGTATCTTCCTCCTGCACTGATTATTACAATTTTTTTTGCTAATTTGCTAGGCAAAGTCTGTCTCTTTATAGTTTTAGCTTGCATTTATTTTATTATAACCTTTATTTTATTATAACATATTGCATTTATTTATTATACCTTTTTTCCACATTTATCTTCAAGTTCTACTTGTTCTTTTGTGAATTGTCTCTTTGATTGAGCCTACCACACAACATACATACATGTGCGCACACAATTTACAATTCATTGGTTAAAATGCTAATGGTCTCTTGGTCCATTCTGGAACTTGTGGGCATTGGAGACACAGAGAAAGCCCCACCACCTCTCTGCGCTGGATAACTGCAGCAGGCTCAGATTTAGAATTTTGTCTACTACACCTGCTGCTCTGACTCTTCTACAAAACCGTCAGCTATTAATACACAGTAGCTGGTCCTTTATATTTGGGTTTATAAGTTATGCACTCGAGAGGTGGTCTAGCTCCTCTGAGTTGGTTTGCTTGTTTGTGATCAGGCTATGATAGCACCAGGTAAATGGTGGTGCCAGAATTGTAACTTTGGGTATCTTGGTAAATCGAGACTCTTCTTACAGGAACAGCTAACTAAGAGAGAAAGTGACATGTTTTCCAACTCAGTCATGTATTTAAAATAAGTAAGTAAGTAAGTACGTAAATAAATAAATAAATAAATAAAACACAACTTAAAAGAGAATTCTTTATAAAAGAGCCGAAATCCTTTTTTAGGACTCACAGCTTTTCTGGAACTCCAGCCCAGCTCCGCATTAAACACATTCCTCTTCATCATAAAAGTCCATTCAATTGAACTGTCAGAAAAGGCCTCAGTTTATCTTTCCACTCAGTTTTCTTTTTCATGTCCTGGTTTTTATGGATCTTTTTGAGGAAAGAAATTTGGTAAAGCTTCCTCTCTCCTTTCTAGTCAATACCTTGACTTAAGCAACATCTGCCCTAAGAAGCAGCCTCAGCTAACATATTACCTGTTCTTACTAAAAGGAACACACCCCTTCCTAGAAAACTGCAATGCACAAGCACTGCTGAAATGCAAAATTCACAGGTTCCCAAGGACTCTGCCAAGCCCCTCTGGTGGTCCAGGCACCTCGGGACTGACACTCTCTGGGACCTATTTCTCGACTGTACATGACCAAGCCCAGCTCTGCCCTTCAATTCCTTACTGGCCCTCACCTCTCGGGTTTTCTTCAGGATCTGCTCAAGGAGGATAAGGAAGTGGCCCGGGTCCCTGCTGACCAGTTCCTGCAGGCTCCAGCAGTTCAGACACAGCCCGGCTGGAAAGGGAAAGAGAGAGAGGTGACTGGTCAGTTCAGGTCTTTTCTGGCCACCCTCAGGCAGGGGTTGTAGAGAAGGGGGGATCTACATTGGAACACTCCTTTTGGGATTGCACTGGAACATTCCTTTCTAAAGTAAGAGAGTCTAGGAAAAAATGATGGACCAACACTCAACCCTATCACACCCCATCAAGACATCATGTTGAGTTCCCTATTCCTGCATATACAAGAGACTCAGGAGACATAGAGATTGGAAATTTGGGCTGGGATCCTCTTCAGAGGCCAATAACCTTGCCTTAACTCAGCTCCTGTGCCTCCGGAGAGCACACCAGTCCTCCTGCAACTCCCCTGCCCTGGTTTCCTACAGTGGCTGCGGGTACCTAGGAGATGCAGGGAAGTTAGAACAGAGGCAGAAATTGCTAGAAGAATAAAGAGAGCAGCCACAGTGAGCTCCACTCCAGGACATAAGACTGAGTCTGTGACAGCCATGGGGGTCCCCAGGACTGCCTAAGCACTGGAGTCCAGGAAAGGGAAGCTAAGTTGATTTGTATAAAAGCTACAATGAACACTCTGTAACTTCTCCAGACTTTCTTATTTTGTCTGTCTCTGTTCCCTGCAGTCAGCAAGGGTGAACCCCTAAAAATTAAGGGGATGGTCATGGGGGAGCTGTGTGTGGGGGGGATGGAGAGCATAGGGGTGGAAGTGGATTGACTGTGAACTCCATGGAGCTCAGTCTCCAGGTCCCCTCATGTGTACAGGCTCATTCCAAAGTCCTGGACGGTCCGAACAGACTTCTTTTAGTGATGTCCCCCATTCCTAACTCTTTTTCTTGCCTCCTACCCAAAACCTAGGAAGAAAAATTACTATGTATTGACCACCTACTATGTGCCAGGATGGTGCTAGGAGTAGTCAGGGAGGCCAGTGAGATATGGCCTATGAAAAATCTTTTCAAGCATAAGGAGTTATTACAGCAAGCACTAGCCTTCAGAGACTCAACTGCCTCAGCACGCAGACATCCCGCCTTTTAGTCCTGGAAGCACAGAACACAGAGGCTTCCTGCCACCTGAAGCTCTGCTGAGACTCTCCCTTGTTCTGGAAGGAAGAGGAGGATGGGGCTTGGAGGGAACTAGAAACAGGTAAACGGGAGAATTCTGGGGCCAACTGCCCGTGAATTCCCAGCTGCTCTTTTGGAATCAGCAAGTATGGTATTTCTAAGCAGGGTCAATACCTTCTCCAAGGACCTATGCTTCTAGCACATGCTAAGGAAGCAAAATACAGCCCAGAGCAGGATGAAGACAATACCAGGGTAGAAAGGAGAATGCCACATAGTGAGGACTAATTCTACATCAGGTGCTGTGCTCGGCACCTGCCCAGGTAAGGTCCAGCGACTTGCTCATGTCACACAGGCAGGATTGGAGCCAGAATCTGCCACCTTCCATGCCTGTTCCAGTGTCCACCACAGCCCCTGGGCTCCCTTGGGACCTTGAATGCCTCCCCGGCTCCCTCGGACCTACCTGACCAGGACGTGGAGTGGCGGCTGAGGCTGAGTCCGTGCAGGCAGCGCTCCAGGGCATGCTGGATGCGGTCCTCTGTACATGTCGTGGCTCCTGGCTGCATCCTGAGTCATTGCCTGCATGGGGACAGACACAGGTTAGCCTGTGAGCACCTTTCCTGGAGAGCATCAGTCTTGGGGAACACCTGGTGCAGCAGGGCAGTAGCCAAGACAGCAGGCACTCACAGCCCAGTGCCACCAGCCCTGCTGCCGTGAGGGTGCGGTGGGTGCAGCAGGTGGGTACAGCTGCCGCCAGGGCAGGAACGTCTTCTGGGCCGCATCTGAGCGACAAGACAAGGCACTCCTATGGTGGAACAGCACAGGGCATAGGAAGCGAGGGGTCAGGAATGGGAACTGAGAGGCAGACAGGGGCCTGCCTGCCCCACCGGGTAGTGGGGAATGTTGCCAAGAGCCTGGGGAGTGCCCTGGAGTGCCCGGGGAGTGCCCAGACCCCAGTGGCTGGGCAGGAGGGCCGTGAGGGGGAAACCAGAATCACACAGGGGACGTTTTCTGAATTTCCAGGCCTGCATTCTCCAACCCCCCAAGGATGGGGCAAGGCCTCTATTCCTGACAGGAAGGCTGCAGGATCTCCCCATGGACTGGGTGCTCCAATACTGAGGTGCTGGGGAGGGGCTGTCCCCATACATCCCCCAACCCTCACCCTGCCACACCCTCAGTTTGGGTGCCCAGGTCAGAGGCACCTGTTTCTTTTCTTCTCTGGCCTTTTCTATGTCATTTTCTTTCCTTTCTCTGCACCTTGGCGATGTTCCCACTTATCCAAAGACCTTGCCCCCCCTCACCCCTCCCTGCCTCCTCGCCCTACAAAGGGGACCAGGGGCTGCTTATTCTTTTCTTCTCTGGCCTTTTCTATGTCATTTTCTTTCCTTTCTCTGCACCTTGGCGATGTTACCACTTATCCAAAGACCTTGCCCCCCCTCACCCCTCCCTGCATCCTCGCCCTACAAAGGGGACCAGGGGGTGCTTAGCTCAGCTGGAAGGTCACTGAGAAGAGGATTTAAGAGGGTTTTTTTCACCTGATGGGGAACTGAGAGCCTCCAGCAGGGCCTGCCCAGCTTCTTAGTTATGTGTGAGGCTCCCTGAGTCCCTCGGGAAGCCATGACAGGCAGTTTGGCACAGTGATTAAGCCTGGCCCTAGCATTCAACGGACTTGGGCTCAAATCTGGACATTTGCCAGCCATATGACTTTGAGCAACTTCTCTAACTTTTCTGATTCTTGGTTTACTTATCTGTAAAATGGGGATGATGATGGTGCTAATCTCATGTGGCTGTTGGGCAGATGAAATGCCATAGTGACTGCACTGAGTAAGCTTCTGTACACGAGAGCTATTATGCTCCAGTCTTTGCCAGTCCCTCTTGCCCCCAGGAATTTCATTGTATACATCCCTGCCAGGCAGACCCTGTCACTGGCCAGTCAAGCCAGGTCACAGAACGGGAGCCAAGAAAGCAGTGGTCCAACTCTGTGGATCTGGGGACAGATCAGGAAACCAGAAGAGGAAGCACAGAGCTCAGAGCTGAGCCATACAAATGACATGCAAAGAGATATGAAATCCCGACCCGGGTCCAGCTGTGTGACTAGAGCATTCACTCACGGAGGCCACAGGCAGGCAAGTCCTCCTATTTCCCCAGCCTGGGAGGAAACATGCATCAAGGGAATAACAAGCCCTATGTGAGATGTCCAGCATCATTCAGTGATGTCCCTGCTGGGCCATGCGGTATGAAGCGGGATGGGGATGTAGGGGGCACACTAGAAGCAGCACGCATGCATGCATTCTGTCACAGACTTACTGACCACCTACTGTGTGCTAGGCATGAGGGCTGCAGCAAGGGGGACAGCGGGCATTCTCCTTGGTGGGAGCCATAGACACTGAACAATTAAACAAAACACAAAGAAATCCAGAGGGTGAAACATACTATGAAGGGAGGAAGGTTCTGGGGACCCCTAGGGAGCCAATGCTAGGTCGTTGAGGGGTGAGGGAGGCCTCTCTGAAGAAGGGACATTTAAGCTGGATGAGGAAGCCAGGAGCAAAATGAAGGGGAGGAGCGATCCAAAAAGAGGGGATACCATGTGCCAACGTCTCGGTGCAGGAATTAGCTGATCAAGGACCTTGACCCTGGACCATGAGACCAGAGTGCTGGGCTGGCCTAGGACACAGACCAACCTCCCATATCCTACACCTTCTGGCTGTAGAGGTGGAGAACCGAGTCCAAAAACTTGCACCGGGGAGTCAGGACCATGGACCTTGGGTGTTTCCATTAGCGGCACCTACATGGTTGAAGACATCCTCAGCCCTTCTGTTTAACTTTTACAATTGCTTTTGTGTCCTTCTTTGCTACCTCCTCCACAGGTAGCCCAGGTAGTGAACCCACCTACCCTGAGCCAGCCTGGGCAGATTTCTGGTTTGCAGTCCCCTCCCTCACCTTGGGTTGTGCCAGTCCCTGGCATGGATGAATGTCCATGGGGATTAACACCTGCCATGAGGCCTCACCCTCCTGCCTTCAGCCACATCCCAAATACAAGACCCTCTGGAGCCTGATGCTATGCAGACTCAGGGCTAGTAGCACCTGCTGGAGAAGCTGGACCACCAGACACCTTCCAATGGATGCATTTGGGGCATGCATGGCTGGCCCATGTGTCACCAACCCACCCTTTGTCCTCACAGGGGGGGTTCTTCCCTGTCAGCCCCAGGGGAGGCTCTTGGAGGGGGCTCACAGGTCTCCCCAACAAGTCTTTCATTTTATAGAAGGGGAAACTGAGACCCAGAGAGAAGGGGCTTGTTCAAGTCAGCCAGGGTTGGGACAGAGGTGGGGAGAATTAACACCAGTACAAACTGTTTATAGACAGGGGTATCAAGTAGGACTTTTTCTATATTCCCAAGTTGTGGCTGAGGCCCAACTCTAAAGGCAAAGGGTGCTAAGTGCCTATGGTCTAAAGTTCTCAGAGCCACAGTGTGCTGCCAGGGCTGGGGACCTGCAACCACCCTGGTGGGCTTGCTGGGAGCTGTCAGTCCAGAACTGGCACAGCTACCCACCCACCCCTGTCATTATAAGATTGGGAAGAGACAAAGGTGGTTAACCATTCCGGAAGGCTCTCCTTTCCCACCTCAAGCCAAGAGTAGAGGGGCTCTTTAAGGGAATCCCTTATGCACACTGGGATGCCCATCAGGGGAGGGCTGCCATTTCATTCGTCAGTTCACTCTCTGCTCAGCCAGCAAACTCACCCAGCTGCTCCCGTGCTACCTGTGAGCGACAGCAGGGCTGAGAGAAGAGGCAGCGTGCAGGGCCTCCATTGGAGTGGGAGGGATGGACACCAGGAACAAAAGCTGGCCTTCAGCTGTCTCATCGATACTTCCCGAGAGAGCCATCAGCAGAGGGAGGGGAAAGTGGCAGTGAGAGGCTGAAGACTGAATCGCCTTTGCGGGGAAAATGGGGGTGCAGGATGAAGAATTGGGAAATTTGTGGCACAACTTGTCTGAGGTCACACAGCTAGGAGGTGGCAAAGCCAGGAGGTAAGGACTTCAGGATGGGCAGCCAGGGAGCCTGGGTCTGTAACCACTATAGCACGTCGCCCCTCAGCACAGCCAGGGGCACTTACTGGGAAAAAAACAAAACCAATTCATGTTTCTACCCCAACAAGTGAAGATTTAATGAACATGATTTTGCTTTAAGAGGTCTAGACTCGCAGTCGCTGGGGATCTTGAGCCGCCCCATATCTGTCTATACCAGCTGCCCAGCATAGCTCTGCCTCCTCCAGAGAAAGGACCAGGGCTCACGGGAGTGTGTACCAGAGACGGGACACCAAACAGCATTCTCTTGGGCAATGGCTGCAGTGGCTCACGGGGCCCATGTGTCTCTAGCACAGGCTGAATGGTGTGAGCTGGGTTTTAAGACACTCCCTGCCCAGCCTCTGTTGCAATGGACCAGCTGGTCATGCCACGAGGCAGGAATGAGTCACCCTGCCCTACGTGTCCCACATTGTAACGGATGCAGACGCAAGATGCGTATGAATGTTCTCTGCCAACGCCGCTTCTGCACATCCCTGTCCTGGGGTCAGAACACTGTGTCCTGGGGCTGCTGGAGAAGCCATCACAGAGGGCTCAGGGATGCTCCCCAGCATCCCCTCCTGTGCCTGCTGGCCCATGGCTTCTCCCTCCCTTCTCCTCACCCCACGTGACTTTCCCATCTCCTGGCTTCAGTGTCCCCCATTCAATGGAGACAATCAAGGACTTCTCCATAGAGACAGGCTATCCTCAGGGCACTGGGCAGGGCTGCTGGTGTGCCATCCTCCCTGGCACCCTGAGGCCATCGATAGCGTGCCCCATGCTCTTCTTTGAAGCAGAACTTGCCTGAGGCCCTGGGCCCTGGGCACCTGGGGGCGGGACCCCCCCAGCTGAGCTGCCCTGGAGTTAACCCTTTGTCATGCTCATTTCCACCTGTGAGTCAGTCAGAGGCTTTGGGGCAGAAGTGAGGGGGGGAAGGCCGTGGCACCCCATCTCCCCAGGATGATGCCTATTTTCAAAAGCTTGGCAAGCTAGGCCTGGCTTCCCCAGCGCCCACTCCCCACCCCCTCCCCAGCTTGTTAACAGGAGCTCCTGTTGTGAAATCCCAGCTGCTGCCGGGAATGGCCCCCATTCGCCCCTACCCGCAGCGGGGTAGTGTTGAAACATTCAACAGCAGGGTCTGCCCCCATCTCCAAGTTCCTCTTCTGAGCCAGCAAAGAAGACTCATAGTCCTTACTGGGGACCCTGAACAGGACAGAGAGGCCTGGAGGCGAGGTGGCCCTGCCTTTGCCTCTTCTTCTCATGTTGACAGGACCCCAAGATGCAGGAGCAGCCGCCTTCCTCTAGGCGCATGGCTTGTCAGAGGGGTGGGGTCTGCCTGGGTCCAGCTTCCTGAGGCAGCCCCCCAGGGGGCAGGCAGGAGGGCTTTTCTTCTTGGGGGGCTTCTCAAACAGTGCTGAAGGGCAGAACTGGAGGGCTGACGTCTCATAGGGAGAGAGACATGGGCCTTCAGGCTCTGGCTGGCACTCCACACCCTGTTCCTGGAGTTCAGGAATATTC